TATACCACACCTCTATTAGTTATCTATAGCCACGTGACATCTTCTGCACAGCTTAAAAAGGACAAACATGATTTCACAGTTTCTGACAGTCAGGAACCCAATAGTGGCAAATTCTAATCAAGTCTGTTGAAGTGGCACAGGTCAAGGCTGGGTAAGCTGGAACCCTACTGAGGTGCCACTGAACATAACAGGGAGATACCGACAGATATTAAGAGGCAGAGAGGGAGATGGAGATGAAGCAGGAGAGGGAGCACACCTGAGGGACAGCTTTGTAAGCCATTTACTGCCTTAGGCCACCAAAGCAAGAGGAAAAGGAAGTGACTGGAGGCAGGATTGGAAGTCCCCTCATTCTGCTGTGCTAATGTTCTCTGCTGACAAAGTGAAATCAATCTCATTTGCTCCAGCATCTCAAAATACGTCAAGGATGGATGGGTTTGGAGCTGATGCTAAAAGGCACACATATGGGCTGCTGCAGAAAAATGAACATATATGACTGTGGAGTGCAACCCTAGACCCCTTTGTGTCACCTGTGGCATATGCCCCTTTCTGTCACTGTACAATGTAAACACTTCTGATGTCTATTAGGGCCTCAGTGTTGTCCTAAAGGTCATGGATCTGTACCAACCTCTTCATTGTTGTTCTAAAAATATTTTATTATTTTTATTTTGTGTCTTGCCTGCACATGTGTAAGTGCACCCATGTAGTGTAATGCTTGAGGGAGGTCAGAAGAGAGCGTCAGATTCTCCTGGAACTGGGAGTTATGGATGGTTATAAGTCACCATGCGAGCACTGGGAATCAAACTGGATCCTCTGCAAGAGCAGCCAGTGTACTTAACTGCTGGGTCATCTCTCCAGCCCCGCAACCTCTTTACTGTTAGCACGTCTTGCAAGCCTTGGTGGGAAGCTGTCTGAAGATCTGGGAGGAAACTGCCTTAAGACTTTCTGTCTTTGTCTATGAGCAGATCTGATCACCAGGTGGCATCAAACCTGAAGCAATAAAAATATCTGAGGGGGCTGGTGAGAGATGGCTTAGTAGTTAAGAACACTGGTTGTTCTTGCAGAAGACCCGGGTTCGAATCCCAACGCCCACATGGCAGCCAACAACTGTCCATAACTCCAGTCCCAGGGGATCCAACAGCCTCTTTTGACCTCTGTGGGCACTGCACGACACGGGTACATACACGTAAAATAAAAATAAATAAATTAAAAAAATACTATGTAGACCAGGTTGGCCTTGAACTCAAGAGGTCTGCTGCCTCTCTGCCTCCCAAGTGCTGGGATTAAAGGTGTACACCACCACGCCCAGCATAAACATGAATTTTTAATCTCTCAGAGCTTTTGGAATTTGAGCCAATATTATTGTTTTTCTTTTGAGGAGGCAGATGACTTCAACAGAAGGGCAGAAACTCTGTGATACTCTATTGTTCCTACTCCAGAAAGGGGTTGCAAACTCAAATGTCTATGAATTTACACTCAGATGAGAAGCATGCATAGGGTGATGGTTTGCATGTCCCATCAAAGCTCCTGTTGAATTCGATCCCCACTGTGAGGGGTGAGCTGCTTGGGTCATTGAGGCCTTCTGCTTTCATAAATTATTTAATCCCTTCATGGATTCGTGGGTTACTGAAGGAGTTGCTTGGCTGTGAAAGTGAACTTTCTCTAGCTTGCCCTATCTTGCCAAGTGATACCCTTTGTTTGCCATGACCCAATAGAAAATCCTCACTGATGCCAAGTAGATGCTGCACCATGCTCTTGCCATGCTCTAAATAGACCTCTTTATAAGTCATCCATTCTCAGGTATTCTGGTATAGCAGCAGAAAATGGACTGTGACACATATAAGACAACAAGGAGTGGGGGCTGGAGAGATGGCTCAGTGGTTAAGAGCACTGGCTGCTCTTGCAGAGGACCTGAGTCCAGTTCCCAGCTGCAACACAGATTTAAAATGTGAAAAAAAAATTTTTTTTTTTTTGTCTTTTTGACAGAGGGTCTCCTTGTAGCCCCAGCAGGCCTGGAACTCTTTATGTAGACCAGGCTGGCCTTGAACTCACAGAGATCCACCTTCCTCGGCCTCCTGAGTGCTGGGATTAAAGGCGTGTACCACCACACCCAGCAAAATGTGAAATTTTTTAAAGATTTATTTTTTAATTACGCATATATGTCTATATGAGGGTAGTGCACATGAGTGCAGGTGCCTGGAGAGGCCAGAAAAGGGTTTTGGATTCCCAGTGGAGTTACAGTTATAAGTAGTCTGATGTGGATGCTGGGAACTGAATTCAGGTTCTCTTCAAGAGCAGTACATGCCCTTAACTGCTAAATCAGCTCTCTAGCACCCTCTTCCCCTAAAATGTGAAACACTTGCTAATTAACTAATCAATTCATTTTTATTTATTGTTTTTGAGACAGGGTCTCACTATGTGGCCCTGGCTGGCCTGAAATTTGATATGTAGATCAGGCTGGCCTTGCATTCACAGAGATCCATTTACTTCTGCCTCCCAAGTAGTGGGATTAAAAGCATGTGCTACCATGTCTGGCAAATCAATTTATATTTGAAGTGCTGTGGATTGAACCCAGGACCTTGCATGTTAGGTAAATGCTAATGTTTAAAGACAATGAACATAGCCAGGTGTGATGGCACATGCACACCTTTCATCTTTCATCCTAGCACTTGGGGGCAGAGGCTGGCAGATCTCTGTGAGTTCAAGGCCAGCCTGGTCTGCATAGTGAGTTCTAGGCCAGCTGGGGCTACAGGGGACCCTGTCTCAAAAAGACCAACAAACAAAACAAAATGAAAAAAAACAATGAACATGATGGTGTAAGATAACATGCAGGAGAAGTTCATAAGCAGCATGTGACCTCTATGTGTCCCCTGTGTACTATATACCCGATGTGCTGGGACTTTCAAAGTCTTAGCTAGCTATTACATAGGTGGACTCTATTGAAATATGACTCTCTGTATTCACATCCTTGCCTAGAACCTTCCCACACTTAACTGTGGGCTTGTTCATATGACTTGCTTTGGCCACTGGGGCAGGAGCAAGTATGGTGCAATTAAAGTTTGATAAGAATTTGTTGATGGGCTTGTCCTTTGCTAAGCCACCCTTTAGAGGCTTGAATGATAAGAAGCCAATGGAAAAGAGACACCCTAGAGGATGAGAAATCATTTTGAATGAGTTTTCCATGTGTAACCTCATGTTGGTCCAGATGAGCTTGGTTAACCCATGCAGTAGTTGGTTAACCAGTTATTCTAAGCTACTAAGTCTAGCAATGGTTTGTTAAGTAGCAACAGGTAACTGAAATGGGTTGTTTAATCTTACTTTGTTTTACTACCAACTGTCCCAAGTCCAGATAGGCAAAAGGGTCTGGTGAAATTCAGACAAGTCAGTGATATCACCAATTCTGAGTTTTTTTGGTTGCTTTTCTTTGTATTCTCTCTGCTTGTCACCAGATAGACTATGAAATTTCAAATTCTAACTGCAAGGAACTTATACTATGCCCTAAATGCATACAAATAACTGTAATACCTTAGTCTTTGGAAATGGAAAGAATACTAAGTTGTCCAGTCTCTTCACTTTCCAGGGGCAGAAAATTCAAAAACACTTGAGAAGGAAAACAGCAGCCTCTGACATTTGGAAGTAGGCTTGATAATCAGCCAGGCCCTAATATTACTTGACAATTGCCTGAGACTGGCCCTTACAGCCAGGCCTTCTGTTCTGTAAAACTAAACAGCTTCACAGAACATCAACATCTGGTAAGGCCATACTGCAACCTAGATGGAGCAAGACAAAAACAAGTCCACTCTGTAATCATGTGTGAATACAGATGAAACATAAACATTAAGACACACACATACAAAGACTCAACACCCTAATCTGACTGGTAGAAAAGGCTGCCACCAATTACAGCTTTAGCCTCAATCTATTATTTTCTTCCCTCAGATAAGATGGAGATGTCCAATTATAGAATTACTCCCACTTCCTGACAGCATCTACTCCAGAGCTTTCTTGAATCCTCTTGTGCATTACCTAAGGTCTCTTACTGAGAAGCCCATGATTTGTCATGATGGGTGTTCTTTCCTACTCCAACCAGACATAAACCCATCTTGTTCAACTGTATCAGTGTGTTTCTGGAAGATTCTGGTTAGAGGGTACCGACAGACTTGGTGAAAGTCACAGGGTTGGAGGCAGGGTCCACTAGAAGTCTCCAGTTGTGTTCACAGCACCTATTAGTCTTGGTTAACACCTGCTTTCACTGCACTAAAATTTTAGAACAAGGGCTTCGCCTGTCATGTTGAAAGTTGACTCCCCAGTGTTTATGGCAGTACTCAGGAGAAGCTGGATGCTAAAATAAATAAATAATAAATAAATAAGTAAATAAATAAATGTTTTCTGAACCAACGAGTAAGAGAGCTCAATTTACAGACTCTTCATCTCTCAGCTCCTCCCAGTCAAGTGTAGTGTACGGTCAGCAGATCTCCATATACCTGGTTTCCTAACTCAGTCTCCAAACTCCTCGGTCCTGGGCTGTCCATCCTCTTGGCACTTGCTTCCCTCCCTTGTCTGTGTCCTGTGGCTCGCGGACCCCATCCCACACCTCCTAACGCACCTGGAACCCCCCAGTCTCCACCACCTGCCCCTACCAACAGCTACACACCGGGTACCGCAGCACAGCTACCTAGGCGGCCGGTGAGCGCTGTGGGCAGCCACCGCGCATGTGCGGAAATCGGTCGCACAGAAAGATCTCTGACAAGTAAGGAGTTGCCTTGGAGTTTCCGTCCGGATCTACCTTAGCACCCTTGGGCTGCCAGGAAGTGGGGAGAAACCAGCCGGAAGGAGAACTCGCGCGCGGGGTTTTCTGGGACAAGTAGTCGCAGCGCTCGCGAGGCTCTACTGCAAGCAATCCCTAAATTCTCCTGCACTTCCTGCACTCCCAGGCCGGAGCTCCGTACGGCGTACACCCTTGCTTGGGCCCTTCGGGAGAGTGGGCCGGGCGGCTTCTTGATCCCACAAGGCCGCGCAAGCCGCGGCGGCTGCCGGGAGTTGTAGTTCTCTCTGTGCGTCCTGCGTCCGCCGAGGAAGAGGGCGGAGCTGCCGGCGGCCCGGGCGGGCTGGCAGCTAGAGTCGGTGCGAGAGCCGCCTCCGCTGCTGCCGCTGCCGCTGCCTCCTCCGCCCGGGCCGTTCGTTGCTGCGCGGGGAGAGCGAGGCGGGGCCGCCAGGGCCGCCATGGAGCCCGACTCGGTGATTGAGGACAAGACCATCGAGCTCATGGTGAGTGCGGCCCGCGAGCCCTCCGTTCTTCCGGCCGGCCGGGGGCCTGCCCACCTCCGCGTCCGCCAGGCCGGCCCTCGCTGCCCACGGCCCGACCAGGCCGGTCCCCTCCTGCGGTGGCCTGGCCCAGCGCGGCGCCGGCCCGGCCCACGGCCGCCCCTCCCCGGCGAACTCTGGCCGGTCTCGGGCGACCCTCCCAGGTTCCTGAGGGACCCTCGGATCACACTCGCCTGAGCATCGCATTCTCTTCTTAGAAGGGAATATTTTTCTTGTTTCTTCCCTGTGTTTCTTCGGCTGGGCCCGCATAGCGCTCCTCAGCCGCTCTCAGGCCGAATGTGATGGTGGTGGGAGGGAGTCGGAGACCGGTTCCGGCCGCTTCGGCCTCGGTGTCCGGGGGTGGGGGGGTGCTTAGCACCCTTTCCCCAAACTCCGGCTCTGTGGATGCCGACTGAGGCCTTACAGGGCTGGGATGCTAGGATGCCCTCGGGTTTGAGGCTGAGAGGAGAAGGCCCCTTTTTTCTGGGCCCCCGTGGTGTCGGGCTCCTTGGACAAAGGGTTTCTTACCCTGCGGGAGGGATGTTTGTATAGCCAGGCCCCAGGTACTCTGGATTCCATCCCCCAGGAAAGGGAAACCGTAACTTTACGGTTTGGGAAATGAGGGAGAAGGGGGGAGGGGGTCGCCCTCAATACTACCATCAGTGCTTTCATCTTGGGGAAAAAAAAAAGAATTTTTGGTTTCCAGAGAAGCGATGATCACTTTTCTATTAGAAATCATTGATAGCTACATTGGTCAGGTCTCCCTGGTCCACGGACACCCCATAACTTCTTTCCGACCTAGGACTTGGTGCCTGAAGGGTCTTTTGGAAACAGGACCGTGAGTGAGTGGTTAGTGAAAGTGAAGAATTTGCTAATTAGTGTAAGAAATAAAATATGGCTGGTATTACCTGCCAATTTGAGCTTGAGGGAAATCAAACCCGACTCTCCGGAGGAAGTCGGCCTCTGCAAATGGACAGGCACAGGGTTTTCTTCCTGTGGAAACCTTGACAGTTTCTTTGTATCTCTGCTAACACAGTGACAACTTCTGTCTACCCCAGGATTGAGAGGAAAGGTGAAAGAAACCGTTTTAACCTAGCGAAATGTTTTCTCGCCAGATTTTTCTCCAATGTGAAAATGTTTATTGAGTCAGTGATTCCACTGGGTAGGGTTGGTGACATCAGAGCCACTTCCCCCATTTAATGCTATAAATAATAAATGGTGACACTGAAAGTCTGTTGGATAGCTACATGGTTTCTGTGGGCAATGTTATTCCGGGAGTTGAGATACATGCTTGAAAAAAAATGGAAGTGATAGCGTAAATATGGAGGTAGCTTAATATTTGCTGTCCTTTGCACAATTTTCAGAGCTGGAGTTGCTGAACGTTAGGGGTGGGTGAGTGAGGGAAACTTTAAAATCAGGAGGAAAAACTTTCTAGTATCTGATTTGTGTGTGTGTTGTGTGTGGTTGTTTTCAAAGGGATTCTGTCACTTGTGGGGTTTTGATCTTACTAATGTTTCCTTTTCAGCATCAAACTGTTGACTCCAATAATTTGGGCAACTTTTGTAGTAGATTGTTTTGGCAAAATATAAAATTAACTTATTTATGTATTGTATGTACAGTGTACATACCATGTGGAGGTCAGAGGACAGCTTTGCGGAATCAGTTTTCTACTTCCACCTTTATATGGGATTTAGGGATTGAACTGAATGTGTCTAGGCTTTTGGCAAGTGACTTTCCCTGCTGAACCATCTTACTGCTCCCTGTTTTTGTAAGATACCTTAAAGAGCATGATACATAGTCCATCTTCTTATATCTGCTTACAGTGTGGTTATATTGAAAAGGTGTGTGGTCCATACACCTGTTCTGCTTTTCTTCACATTCACTGAAAGAAACAACCAAAGTGTCTTCATTTTTAAAAGAATTAGAAGAAATACTGTTAATCCAAGGCACAGCCCTTGAGCATATGACTAGAGAAAGACTCATTGGCTCAAATTTCCCAAAGTTATATAACTTTCTATGCTTGTAACCTGAAAAGGTTTGAGTTTTAGGGCTCCCAGTGGTAAAGCACATTCTTAGCATCCTTGAAGCCCTGTGGGATTGTTTGCATTTTATGTAGTACTATTTTATGTAGTCATTAATTTGAAGACACACCCAACTGAGGACATTATAAATTGAATTTTAGGCCAGGCATGGTGGCTCATGCCTTTAATCCCAGCGCTCGGGAGGCAGAGGCAGGTGGATCTCTGTGAGTTCAAGGCCAGTCAGGTCTACATGGTGAGTTCCAGGCCATCTGGGGCTACAGAGAAACCCTGTCTCAAAAAAAAATTGAATTTTACTGTAGCGTTCTTAGAAATTTAATAGTAAAATTTTACCAATTATGATCAATTTAAAATGTTTTTAAAGGATTTTTTTTTGGGGGGGGTCTTTTTGAGACAGGGTCTCCCTGTAGCCCCAGCTGTCCTGGAACTCACTATGTAGACCACGCTGGCCTTGAACTCACAGAGATCACTTACCTCTGCCCCCTGAGTGCTGGGATTAAAGGTGTGCACTACCACACCCGGCTTTTTTAAGGATTTTTCTCTCTACTCTCTTTTTTTTTTTTTTTTTTTGGTCTTTTTGAGACAGGGTCTCCCTGTAGCCCCAGTTGTCCTGGAACTCACTATGTAGACCAGGCTGGCCTTGAACTCACAGAGATCCGCCTGCCTCTGCCTTCCAAGTGCTGGGACTACAGGTGTGTGCCACCACGCCCGGCTACACTCTTTTTAAAAAATTTTTATTATTTTTATTTTATGTGTATGCGTGCATTGCTTGCATGTAGGTAAGTGCACCCATGTTGTGCAATGTCCGTGGAGGACAGAAGAGGCTGTTGGATCCCCTGGGACTGGAGTTATGGACAGTTGTTAGCTGCCATGTGGGTACTAGGATTTGAACCTGGGTCTTCTGCAAGAACAGCCAATGTTCTTAACTGCTGAGCCATCTCTCCAGCCCCTAGTTTATACTCTTAGACCACCTTTTTCATAACTATAGGCATTTATTTTAACATAGTAAATACAGCAAGTGCTTAGCCATTGATGAAGTCTGGGATCAAAGGAAGGAATGGTAATGTTTCAAAATCTAGCTGCATATGACTTTTTGTATTCATTGCATTTAAATTAGTTTCCAGAAGTCAGTTAAAACTATTTTTAATATTGACCTCAAACTAACATGATTGAAGGAGGAGAAGGGGTTAAAACTGCAAGAACAGTCAGTGTTCTTAACCTCTGAGCCATCTCTCCGGCCCCTATTTTTTTTTTTTTTTTAATAAAACAGATTTTCACTATGTAGCCCTGGCTGTCTTGAAACTTGCCATGTTGACCAGGCTAGCTTTGTACTCACAAAGATCTGCCTGCCTCTGTTTCCCAAGTGCTGGGATTAAAGCTACACAACACCACAACCAGCCACTTTATGATTTAGTACTCCCTGAGGCATGGGTCTACAAAAGTGTTTCTGTCTTTAACACTCTGCACAGGATTCAGACTTTAATAAAGATCAGGAATGCTTTTTCTCCTCCTCTCTCCACTGTCTCCTGCCTCTCCCCTCTCTCTCCCCCTTCCCCTTTTCTTACTCTCTTCTGTCCCTCTCTCCCTGCCTGTCTCCCTTGCTGAAGCTGGCCTTGAACTCACAGTCTTTCTGCCTCCACATTCCAGGTGCTGGGATAACTGGCTCATGCGCTACTCTCAGCAGACTATAAATGAATGCTTAAGAAATTTTTTAAAAACAATTTTTATGTGTATGAATGTTTTGCCAGCATTATATGTAAGTATACCATATGTGTGCCTGGTGCCCACAGAGGCCAGAAGAGGGCGTCCAATACCCTGGAACTGGATTTAAGAATAGGTGTTAGCTGTTGTGTGGGTGCCAGGAACCAAACCTGTGTCCTAGAAGAGCAGTGAGTGCTTTTAACTACTGAACCATCTTTCCAGTCCTTATAAATGATCTCTTGATTGAGACAACTATATTTACAGTTGCTGAGTGTGAGTACTTTACCATATGGCTTTCACTGCTTTATATTGGCTTTACTACTTTGGACCTATTTTTCAAACTTCTGGCTTGTAACAATCAGTGTTCTTAGAAGAGTAGTGATCCATTTTGGAAATATGCAAAGTTTAACCAAGTAATGTCTAGTTTGGAGAATTTCACTGGAAAGAATGCAAACTGCATTGTGTATCACATTTATTATCTATTGAGTTGGGAACATGACTTGATATCAGTCACTCATTAGAAAGCACTTACTGGAGCTGCTAATTGAGAGTGAAAGATGGTTAGTTCTTCCCCTAAGAAGATAGCAGAAATTGATGTTAAAAGTTTAAGGACAGAGGCTGGTAAGATGACTCAATGGGTAAAGGCAGTTGCCACCAAGCCTGACCACCAGAGTTTGATCCCTGGGACCCACATGGTAGAAGGAGGTAACAAACAACTGAAAATTGTCCTCTGACCTGCACATGTGGGTGCTCATACACGTACGCATATAACACACACAAAATAAATAAGTAATTATTTTTTAATGTTTAGTGATGATAATCATGTGTCACGGGTGTGAGCAGAACTGTTCCCTCCTTACACAATTAATGGACAACTTATACTCTGTTATTAGCTGTTGAAAGATTCCCCACTGCTAAGTGACCTTATGTGAGTCATTTCCTTTCTGCTTTAGCTCTTAGATGGATAAAGTAATGTAGATTAAAGTATGTTGGTCCTCATTAAGAAAGTGTGACAATGCTGATGTTAGAGCTGTTGAAGCACAGCCAGGCCACAGCTAAGGTGACGAAAGAAACAGATAAGATAGATGATTGCTAATTTTTCTCTTTGATTCGTTTTTTTCTTCCTTCCTGTCTTTGACTAAGAGAGGCAAGTAGGGTCGTTTAATGAGTCTATCCAGAAATTGGATCTTTGTTACTGCCACTTGCCCGCATATATTGCTAGTG